CGGAGAAATAATAAAGTGGATAGCAACTTTAAGCAGCTGCTGAGGAAGTATCGCGAATTGTTAAAGTAGGAACTTCCGACTCTCCGGGAAATCAACGGATGAAAAGTCGGGGGGGGGGAGGAATGGGCGAGCTGATTTTACTACAGAAAAAAAAAACAAAAAACACAAAAACCCACACTCCAGAGGGCAACTGAAGACAGCGGCCGTGCAATCCTGCTCCTTTTAATCAAGTGGATGCTGATTCGAGAATTGATTTTTTTTAAAAGGGGGGACGAGGAAAAGCTTTACATTTTATCAAAGGAGATGGGGGGGTGAACTCAACAGGAAGGAAAGCCCTATATATATATATATATATATTAATTGTCTCGAAACGTGCATGGGTGGGCGTCGGTTGGAGGCCGGAGTTTCTATGATTAGGTTTTTGTGGTTTATATATACTGTACTCTCCGTTTGGCGTATCATTATGCTGATGAGAGGCAGTAGCACGTGGTGTCTCCACCAGCCCTGAAGATCCCCGCAGCCTTCAAAATAAACACCACAACGTGCCACCCCTTCTCTTCCCTTTAGCCGCCAAAGGGCAGGCGCTCCACGCCGAGGCTCATTCCCCAGAACCAAGCGCCCTCTGGGCAGTGAATTGAGGCAAAAATACGCAGTATCTGCCTGGATCTATGTGTGCTTTGGTTTTGTTTTTTTTGAACCGGGGGGGGGGAAGGTTTCTCCCAGCTCTCTCAAAGTTACAAAGTTTTGTAAGCCGAACATGTCATCGGACTCAGAACAGGCAAGCCAACGATGCGTGGGCCAAAGGGTTTTCTCCCAAACCGGTAGCGGGGCGCCCACAGTCTCTCAGCTCAAGGGGGGGCTTCCTCGCAGACGTCACTGAAAGGTAAATAACTCGTCCGGCTTGCTCTCTTTACAGACACACACCCGCTCACACAAAAGGCAGCTCTTATTAAAAGCTATTTACATACCCAATAGTATAATAGGGTGAACGCCTCCCAGGGTAGATAACAACCTATCAGAGATCCCTTCCCTCGGCCCTTCTCGTGCCTTAAGGTTTGCGCTCGGCCGGGTCGGTCAGCCGCCCGTCCAAAGCCCGTTTGTCGGCGTGTTGGCGGGAGCGGTTCTGAGGGCAGCGGGAGACGCGTCGCTCTGCCCTTTTCTCCCTCTCCCAGCCCCAACTAGGGCCGTATCCTGAGCGGCTAAGGGCTCCTGCCCGCTCCTCCCTGGAGGATGTCGCCTCGGGAACGCCGCCTGCCCTCCAGAGAAGGGTTCGCCAAAGGAACGGGACGAAGGGCGTCTGCGAGGCTGGGAAAGACTTTTGAGGTCTTCCTCCGTTCCTAGCTTTTTACCTTTCTCAACAATCCCCGTCCCTCGGGGGATCTTCACAACCACGGTACAAAATGAACGGTCCCCCGTTTAAAACAACGACTCCCTTCCCCCCCCCTGAACCGTCCGGTCATCGCTCCATCCCATCACTACACTAGTACGACGTAAAAAAATATCTGCGCTTAAAAGGTAGCCTGCGGGGTGAAGCGAGAAGCCTTTTGTTNGTTGAATCCTGTAGTTGAAACCCCCCCCCCCCCGCTCTAAGTCGATTTCAGTTTCTTGTACAAAAAGAACGGGTTCTAGAAAGGAACGTATTGTTTTTAGCTTGGTTTTATTTTTTTAAAATCTACCCGCTTTCTCTTCCGCCTCTAGTATATGGTCCCGGGTTGGTATTTTAAGCCCAGGGACAGCGGGCGCTCCTCTCCCCTGCGCGCGCTTGGCGGGGGGGGGCTGCACTCGCTCGCTTGCTTGTCAACCTGGCCGGTAAGGACTCGAGTGCCCCAGCCCTACGAGCAGGCACGTGGGTGAGATCGCCTAGGAGTCTCTCTGGGAACAGGACGTCGAAAAAATAAGACTGCAGACTGCCTTATAGCCATAAGCACAGACAACGTTAGAATTAGTTAGGTAGATGAGCAGTGTTTTCTAGCTCAGATCCAAAACGTTTCGGTCCTGTTGGTTTCACAAGAAACTACTACTTCCATCCTTTACTTTGTTTAGAGTAATGGTGTCCTTATTCAGTAGCCTGTAATTCAGGACATTTGAACTAACGTCTTTTTTTAAAAAAACTTTTTTTAGTTACAAATGTTAATTGCAAAGATTTCTATACAGAATAGGGACAAGTCTGCTTTTAGCAAATAATACTGTTAATGTCAACCTTCCCTACTGTGCAAAAATGAAAGTGTGGATGTTTAAGGAAGCTACTGGAAAGTGCCAGTATAGAGCTGCTTAAAATAGACTGCAGTCACTTCTAATGTGGAAATATAATTTTCCACTAAATGCCTCCACAGGTTTTAGGCTTTTGGCAAAACTGATCTTCACTCTTCCTGGAGAACGGGGAAAATACACCTCCCTGTGCTGGACACTTTGCACAGTTAACAGGGCCTTGCGGAATTCTGGAAGGGGCCACAACTCTGCACTAGTTTTTTAAATACATTGATGAAGATAAAAACATCTAGTTGTAGACTCAAGCCTAATCATTTTTACTTGGATGTGAGGGGTGTTCCACTGGGATTTATTTGCATGTTAAGAATGTAATATTATGGAAATGAATGAGGGCTGTATGGCTTTTGCTGATATTGTAAGCTGTCATTTTATGTTATCTGAGCCTCAAGCTGAAAAGGCACATAGGATAACTGTTAGCCCCTGAGCTTTTTTAATCTAAAAAAAAAGGTGTATTTTATTTATCTTTTGCAAATAAGTAACTGAAACTTTACAATAGCAGTAATGAATGTACAGTACCAGGTTGTAAAAACAAACCCAGTGGTTCAGATGCTGCACAGAAAATTCAAATCATTTTATGGCTTCATATTTAAAAATTGAGGGAAAATGAGAAATGTTGAAGAGCTGCAGTGGAAGTTATAATGGGAACTCAGGTGAACCACTTCTGAATCCTGTTATTTCCATACAGGTTTGACGCTTGTGCATAACTCTCCCATTGAAATAAAGTAGAATTGAAAATACTTCACTGTGTCTGGATGATATCCTAATTTATTAACCCTCCATTTCTAAAATGAAATATTCTTTAGTTAAGTTTAATTTTAAACAAAATGATAACTTCAAAGATATATTCTGCCTGAATGCTTTTTATTGATATCTGCTAATATTTGCAAATACATATGTTATTTTTATCCTTTTTAAAACTTGTATTCTGTCAAACATACTTTTTTAAAGCTATATTTTTTAAATTTCTGTTGTGGTGGCCAGTAGTTTAGAAGTATAAAATGGTTTGAGATAACCAGTAGGAAAAAAGGCCATTGTTATTATATCCTGTGCCATTTGCTACATGTAGGGTGGGAATGCATAGCCCTCCAGATATTGATGGACTACATTTTTCATTAGCTCAAGTCAGGTGAGGCGATAGTGAGGCATCATGGGAGCATCATGAGTCCACAAATGTCCGGAGGCAGAAGGCCACTTCTTTCCCATTCCGTCATTGGAACTAGTCTCTTTAATGCAAAATTCCACATTCAGAATATGTTTTCAGAAACATTTATTTGTACAGTGGATACTGTACTGTACATATATTACATATTAAATATCTCTTGATTCCTCACTAAATGTGAGCTTAAATGGGAAATCAGTTCAATTTTATGTGTGCATTTTCTCTATTTTCTATTCTATTCTACTCTATTTATATACCATCCCATTAGTGTGAGCACTACTCTGGGCAGTCGACAGGTTTAAACTTAAAACTCCAGATAATAACATACAATCTAACAATTCGATTCCTAAATGGTTAAAGAGAATATGACTATTCATCAAATTAGGGTCTTTTATTTCTTAGGAAATTAAAATAACTATTTTCACTATCTTGATTATGCCATACATTAATTAAATGTTATAATAAAATATTCTCAACACAAAACATGTGTTTCAAAGATTGTAATTCAATAAAAATAATTTACTTCAGCTTCAAATATGGTAATATGTATTTAGGCTGACTTTGCCAGGGATGAGGTCAGGTGAAATCACTAATTTCTGTCACAGTGGTGTGACCAGGTCTGCTGTCATGTTGTTTCGTTAATTATGAATTGCCAAGTTGCAGTTTGTGCTGCTAAGCCTATCTAGAGCTTGACATTTCTCCAATTCACACAATTATCTTGGAAATTAAAACATTCAATTGTGGGGTCATGTTTATTATGCTGTCACAGTCATTGTATAATGATCCTGATTACTGGGCACAATGGGCCATGGTATAATAGGAGTAATTTAAGTACACATTTGACTCTACCAGTTTGCTTTAGTCTCTTAGCAAATTTAAATTTTGTTTGCTCATAGTCTTTTAACATCATAAAATGGGCAACATTTGCCATATGCAAAATAATACCTACAATATGACCAATTATTTAATGATGTTACTGATATTTGAAAGACTGTTTCACAGGGTTTCTAGTAAAATGGTTGGATGGAACAGTGGCCCATTTATGAAGGGTGTTAGATTTAGTTCAGGGAGATGAAAATGCAGATTCTCTTTCAGCCTTGGAGTCTACTGGGTGACAGTGGGCTGGTCATCATCTCTCAGTTTAACTTATGTAGCAGGATTGTTGTGAAAAGAAACAAGGACAAACTTGCATGTAAAATATTGTAGGAGTTTTTTGTAAGATGAAAGGGGGATACACAACTTCCCAGAACTCATCCCATTAATGTTGTTTTTTTAATTGCACGTTGTAATTTCCATGTATTGCTGTTGTGATTAGCTATAGCCACACTCACTGGTACCCCCTACTTATACACAAAAGCATTTACTTCACATTGTCCATGACTGGAGCTTACCAAGTTACAGGGTAGAAACTCCATTTAAAATTAGAACCCTATATACAGTACTAGAATCAGGAACATATGGCCCTCCAGATGTTTTTGGATTGCAGCTCCCATGATGCCTCACAATTAACTATGTTGACTTGTGCTGGTAAGAGTTGTGGTTTCTCACAGCAACTGAACAGGATTTTTCCCAGACAGGCCTGTACATCTTGTTACCTACCAAGAGTACATTAAGCCTAGCCCATCAGCAGTGTTTGATAGCACCAGTGAGGCTTAATGAAAAAATGGATGAGTCTGAGAATTGCCATTCTCTTACAATATACAGGGTTGGGTTTTTGGGTTTTGTTTTTGTTTTTTTACATCAGGAACAATTAAAATGGCAGTGCCTAGCCATTCACAACTGCCAGGTAAGCCAACTACATAGAGCCTGCTAACACAAGACGGAAACAGAGGGGATGGCATCTTGCCAAGGGCCCTCCAAGTGATGCTGTGTGGAGGTCTGTTGGAGAAAGAGTGGACCTTAGCATCCTAAGGAGTGAGCCTAAACTTCTTGATCATATGTCTGCCTCCACCAATGGCATAACCACAAAACAGGGTTAAAACACTGCTTTCAGTGCTGTCAAACTCCGCTTACAGAGCCACACTGAAGTTGAACCCTAACATTCTGACTGTTTTGCAGGCAATCAAGGCAAATCAGCACAAAAGACCAGATCCAAAAAGGAAATGTGCCTCAGACAGCACGATTGTCAGTGTCACATGTCAAGTGGGGTACCCTGGTGGGAACTCTTTGCAACAGGCAGTGCTAGTGCAAGCATTCTTTCAGGATGAGTCAGGAAGCAGAACACCATCCCCTGTCCCTTCCTCTTCCCAAATGTCAGCCCCGAAAACCCATAGAGCTGAGAAATAGTTGCACCATGAAGGTGGGCAGATAGCAATTCAAGATAAGGTGGCAGCACTGGTGATTAGCCAGAGTTCCAGGCCTTTTACTCTAAAAGTTTCTATTACTGGTCAAACACTGATGGCCTCCTTTTTCTTCCAGAGTTCTAGCCTGGCCACTTGAAACTACACAAGCAAAAACTACAGTAAGTTCCACAGTAGCCTTATAAAGGGGATGGGTGAGTACCATTATCATACTCAGAGGTACTGTTCTAAAAGTAGTTTACAGGGGCCTCTCCTATAAAGAAGGGAGGTAGTAGTATGATAATAAAGCAGCTGGTTTTAATAGGTTTCTTGAGATATGCTTCACATCTATTAAACATCTCTGTCCTCATCCCTGTGGAATGGGGATGGAGAGGGAAGAGACTGGTAGCATGATGAGATTTGATAGTTGGTCCACTGGAAGGCCAGTTAGCCTAACGTCTGTTCCAGGGAAGATGGTGGAAAGCCTCATCCAAGATAAAATCTTAAAACACATAGAAGAACAAGCCTTGCTGAGGGAAAATCAGCATAGCTTCTGTAAGGGTAAGTCTTGCCTCACAAGCCTTTTAGAATTCTTTGAAAAGGTCAACAGGCATATGGACGCAGGTGAACCAGTGGATATTGTCTATCTGGATTTTCAGAAGGTGTTTAATGTGGTCCCTCACCAAAAGCTGCTGAGAAAACTCCACAGTCAGGGGATAAGAGGGCAGGTCCTCTTATGGACTGAGAATTGGTTGAGAACCAGAGAGTAGGTGTCAATGGGCAATTTTCACAATGGAGAGAGGTGAAGTGCAATGTGCCCCAGGGATCTGTCCTAGGACTGGTGCTTTTCAACTTGTTCATGACCTGGAAACAGGGATAAGGAGTGAGGCAGCCAAGTTTGCAGATGACGCAAAACTTTTCTGGGTGGTGAAGACCAGAAGGGATTGTGAAGAGCTCCAGAAGGATCTTTCTGAATTGGGAGAATGGGCAGCAAAATGGCAAATGTATTTCAATATAAGAAAATCAAAACTTTATACAGTATAATGGATTCTGAGCTGTCTGTGACAAATCAGGAAAGAGATCTTGGTGTGCTGGTGGACATCTCAATGAAAGTGTCAATCCAGTGTGCGGTGGCAGTGAAGAAGGCGAATTCCATGCTAGGTATCATTAAAAAGGGGATTGAAAATAAAACAGCCAACATTATAATGCCATTGTACAAAATGCTGGTAAGGCCGCACCTGGAGTATTGCATACAATTCTCGTTGCCGCACCTCAAAAAAGACATAGTGGAACTGGAAAAGGTGCAGAAGAGAGCGACTAAAATGATGACTGGGCTGGGTCACCTCCAATATGAGGAAAGGCTACAGCATTTGGGGCTCTTTAGTCTGGAGAAAACGCACCTGAGGGGGGACATGATTGAGACGTATAAAATTATGCAGGGGATGGATAACTTTGATAGAGGGAAGCTCTTTTCCTTCTCAAGCAATACCAGAACCAGGGGACATCCACTCAAATTGAGTGTTGAGAGAGTGAGAACAGAAAAAAAAGAAAATATTTCTTTACCCAGAGTGTTGTTAGTCTCTGGAACTCCTTGCCACAGGATGTGGTGATGGCACTTGGCCTAGATGCCTTTAAAAGGGGGACAGATTGGACGAAAAGTCCATTGCAGGTTACAAGCCATGATGGGAATGTATAATCTCCAGGCTTAAATGGGAGGTACTTCAAAATGCCAGATGCAGGGGAGGGGTAACAGGAGACAGATCTAGTCGCCTCTTCTGCTCCCAGAAGCATCTGGTGCAGCCCCTGTGAAATACTAGATGGGCCCTTGGCCTGATCCAGGAGGTCTCTTCTTATGCTCTTACATTCTTATCTAGGCCAGAATTTGCCAAGTTTCTGAAATGCAGGGGTAAACTTCCTGCCCCCAGCAGCTCTGAGGAGGGCATACTGTATCCCAAAGTGGAGGAACCCCCCTCCCACATACATACATACACACTTCTGATTGAAAGTGGCTGGAAGCCCACCTTCAGTTTTAGAAAAACACTTCAAAAACAAATTTTGAAAAGTTGCTGGAGTGCACATTATTTAAATGAAGAATTGTTGATCCTAGGAGCAGCAACCCTCCCTTGCATGGCAATGCAGCCACATTGAAAGATGCCCCTGTAATTCTTCTGGCTGTTGTGCAGCTTTCAGTGGTAGTTCTGGAACTGTGCTAGAACAACCACATGATGATTATTATTATGTACATCATATAATTTTGACCTGTCTTTTGTTGAAAATTCTCACAGGATTGATGCTATGCTATAAAAGCTTTAGCCTCCCAGAGGTAGCCCCTGCTGTTTGGTACTCTGCACAGCAGTCTTCAGGATGGAACTGTCAGTGGGAAAGATCTCACCACCACTTGCCCAGTCCCCTCCACAGTATAGTTGGTTACATGGTAAATTTGAGGGGAACATCTCAAAGTCTAATTAATACAAGTTAATGCTGATGTGACAAACCATAGAGTTGGGATACACAAAGAGATAAATGTAGGTGTTAAGATGAATAAAGAAAGGGTGCAATGTGTTACACTGACTTTATACTGTACTAATAAATGGCTTCATGGCATTGTGCGACTAATGACCAGGCTACTTGAATTAGAAATGTGTTCTTGAACAAAGTACTAAAACAGAGTAAGAAATCACTGGGATTTAAAATACAATGGATTTTTATTTCTTTTGCATCTTTGTAGTAATACAGTATATGTAGAGGTTACATTACAGAGCACTTAAAGATTGCTACAACTTCCTTTCTGGTTGTACCACTTCTGGAAGAGTTAAGTCTCCATAGCTTTAAAACAGAGTGAAATCTATTGCCTGACAAAATCAGTAAATCTTATCCTGCAAGGATGGTATAATTTGTGATCCTACATTTCCAGTGGCCAAATGAAAAACCAAAAGAATGCCAGCATTCACAATAACAGAATAGCCATTTATAGCACCCTTGGAAATGTGACTGCTACCAACCAGTCATGATGTGCAACCAATGACCTCATGGCATCCATGCAGGAAGTGCATACATTAATGTATGGAGATTGCCACAACGGCATGATGTCACAGAACCCAGCCTCTTCCTCATCTATACACAGTGCAAGATCATCTTCCAGGAAGAGTTCATAGCAGCTTATTCCTGAGGTTTCTCTATTCTGTGAGGTCAGTAATTGACACTTGCAGCTACAACTTCTCAAGCTATCCCCAGCAAGGATTCCTATTCCCTACAGCCTACCAGCTCTAGCTCAGCCAACATTAGCCTATTAACAGCCCCATTTACAGTGTCGGACATGGAAGGACTGCTCCTATCACAACAGTCAGAAAGCTCCATAGTCACAAGTAGAATCCATGAACTCCTTCAACCGAAGGATTCAAGTCCCTCCATGTGCCAAGGTATCTATATGTATGATACAAAGGTCATCAATACAGATTATAAAGAAAGAGTGATGCAACAGGAAATATGAGCTGCAAATTCAGATCCCACCCATAGGATATTTATGTGCCAGGCAATTTGTACATTTGACAAAACCAAAACCAGGGTATCTCCCCCATCCCCACCCCCACCCCCAAAGAACAATAATAAGTAGCCTCCTAGTTTTGACAAGAGTTCTATATGGAAAGTAAATTTGGTGGAACAATACAAAGTCTCCTAGAATTGACTGGAAATTGCATACAAACACCTGATCCTACCTATCTGATGCACAAGATTGACAGGCTCATTCTGGCAGCTCTCCTGTGTGTTCATGGGTGAGAAGCCATTGAATGTTATTCCGCACCTGCATTCCATCGTAAACTATAGTAGTGCATTACAAAAAAAAAAAGAATCTCCTCTATTTCTGTGAGTGTTGAGCTTTTAAGTTACTTTTAGAGAGCCCTAACAGACAGCTGTTGCCATTGGATGCTCATCTGGTAGACAAACAGTAAGCATATATTTGAAAAATGGCACAACCAGCTAGTGATTTTCGCATTCCGGGTGCTTAGATGTCACTCTCTCTTTTCACTTATTGTTTCCTGAATTGAGGAGGTACAGTAGCTATCTAGGTATAGGTAATGTGAAATAACAGGAAAGGAGTAAAATATCCTTTTGGAAGCATAACACGCTGGGAGCCAGGTAGGCCATGTCTTCCTTCTTCTACAGGTCTCGCACCAAGTGTAAGAAAACAATGATCTCACTGATCAATGTAAGGTAAAGGCAAAGGTTCCCCTTGACAATTTTTGTCCAGTCGTGTCCGACTCTAGGGGGCGGCGCTCATCCCGCTCTTCAAGCCATAGAGCCAGCATTTGTCCGAAGAGAATCTTTCCGTGGTCACATGGCCAGTGTGATTTAGACACGGAACGCTGTTTACCTTCCCACCGAGATGGTACCTATTTATCTACTCGCATTTGCATGCTTTCGAACCAACTGGACTATAAAAAGCCCAATAGTAGTAGTATTTTACCATCATATTAAAAGCCAGTTAATATTGGCCCTTCCTTCCTTCCAAGTAATGGTTAAAGAGCTAGAGATGAGGAGTTCAATTCCCAACTGTGCCTCCTGTGAGAAGAGTGGTTGCAACGACCAGTTAGGCGGGATATATATAGAAATAAAATAAAATAANNNATAAATAAATAAAAAGAGCCAGTCTGTGTGGCCTTAGGAAAACTGCATCATTCCAGAGCATCCACCAGAAGGAGGGAAATTGAAGTTTTCTAATTGATATTGGTCATGATGGCAAGTCACAATGGTAAATCATTATAATATCACAACCTTTCCCACATTCAGTGCACAACCTGGCTGCCAAAGACAGTTTTTCAAACAGCAATAAGCTGACTTTTGGTATTAAAAACACAGAAGAACCTCTAAAAATAATCTGAAATATATAGATATATATTGCACAATTGGAGGTCACATCTGTGTGTTCTCTTTGTATATTATTTATTTATTTACATACTGTATTCCACTGTTCTACAAGAAAATGGCACTTGAAGTAGCTAGTAGTAATAACATTCAAATAAAACATGTATGATTAATATACAAAAACAGATTAGAAGCAGAAATTAAATCTGTAAATGAAAGGGAAGAAAACTGCCCAACTAGTTAAAACCCCTTGAAAAACACCACATCCTGACTGCTGACTGCCAGGGTAAGGGCAGCACTTACTTTCAGTTTTCTCTGTCCAAAACTAAGGTGATTTGACCACACAGTAATCAGTGATCGTCTTGTGATTCAATGTAATATATCGTGTAATAGATAGCTGCAGAGCTTAAAAACCAGTTGGGCTATTCAGTCTAAGTACTGTAATTTGCTTGGATAGTTTATCTGGACAGGACATCCTCTTCTAAATCTGTAGGAGTATGCTCAATTGAAACGAATGGGATTTGCTTTTAACTTATACAGACAGTATTGAACATAAGTCACAAATGATAAAAATAAAATTTGACAACTTCTACTGAACCTATGAGAAAAGTTGTCAAATATAATTAACATCTGAGCCTGAATTCACATTGGGTGGATTTATGAAATTTGACTATGTTAACAGATATTCCATTTCTGCTCTAATCACGCTACTATACTCTGATGTTGGCAGAAATAAAAGTAAAAAGTCACAGCTTAAGACTTAACCTGTGTCAGAATCAAATAGTATTCTGTTGCTACAAAGTATGTAAGCATGTACGCTGGTTAATAACATCAGAAATATGTATCACAAAGTCAAAATTAGAAAGGGTTGCAAATACATATATTTTCTACATGGCAAATAAGTTTAGCAGATCATGAGAGCTGCGAGGTTTATCCATGGGTGGTGACTGAACCTTGAACAGCTGAGAACCATTGCTGCAGGCCGCTAGCTCCTCAACAGTTTAATTGGTACACTCTAATGTATTTAACCACTCATTGACTTAGATGATTAGAATTGAAAAACAAGACAGTGCCTTTGCCATTAGTAGTTGCATAAGGAGAAGGCATGTTGGCTAATGCACAGATTTGGTGAAGGTTTACTGCAGACTTACTACTAAGCAAGAAAAAAAAGATACAGCTCACTCCCAGTTGGCAGTGAAAAAAGGAGTGAAAAAAAAAACAAAGCTGATAAAAATGCTCTCTTCTAAATGATTCAAGGTCAAGAAGCCTTGTCCTCTTTTGCATTGGTCATCTTATTTATATCTTCCTTAGTTGGCCTCCATTCTTCCACTCACCATGCTTGCAATATTTCCACCCATCTCTGCTCCAGTATTCCTCACCTTATTCACGGTACCACTGGTGCAGTACTACCATTGTTCTTTTGAATGAGTTGAAAGCCCTCTAAAAACACTTCTGATCCTTGCAATGTAAACCTTTGACCTTGCTCTGAAACCTTCATCCGAAGTAACTCATGTTGGTTTGGAATAGGTCTTTGTTCAGACTTTGGTGCATGCCTCTGGTCAGCTTCATCTCTCTTAAATAGTAGCCATGAAAACACAGTGGACCAAAACCCAATTTTCTGAGAGTTAATTCATTTAATTCGGCTTTCCTCTTTCTTTTATTAACTCCAGAGTACACACTACTAAAGGATCTATCCTTCTAACAAAATATGTTCAGGTCTGTATGTATATGCAGAAGTTCTATGTACTGCAAGTATGTCTACACCCACAGGACAAAGGTATAAGTTACAGATGGTTGGAACGATCATCATTGTATGAGAGAATTCCTTAACTGCCAAAAGCATCTGACTGTCACAGCAAGAGCTTTTCCTCTCTCCTGCAATTTGTAAATGTTTCGTGATTAGTTTTTCTAAAGCTAAACACATGCTTTGTTTGGCAACTGCCGAGTTTGATTTCTTAGCCCCAAATGTCTGCTTAAATCATGGATTAACTGTAATATATAGTCTGGTCCAGACAATGTGGGGTCTGGGGTGGGTACACTTGTGTTGAGTGGTTAGAATGCACTTCAAAGTTTGGAGAATATTCTACTATAACACATTTTGTAGCAGGTTTGATCCTAGATCAGTCTATACAAGCTGTATTTGTGTGTGATACTTTGGACTAGTTTTGGTCACACAGCATCTGGGCAAATGCTGACTCATACTTAAATTATGCCTCCATAGATTATATGAGACTACTGCTTTTTCCTAATAACCCTGACTATCCAGCAAGGAAAAGAAATGTGCACAGAGCCAAGAATTCAAGTGCACAATCCTGTCCACGGATTATGCATCAAGTCACAAAACATGTAAACTCTGGTACAGCCGAGGAGCGTGCAGTAGCATGTGTCCAATACTCTTAATATTCATATAAGTGAAATGTTTTTGGATAAGTACTGTGATAGCTCTCCCATCTGCTATAATTTAAATGCTTTTTTTAAAATTACAGATCCTGTGTATAATATCTGTTTACAAGTTTTGGGAATGATTGACACCAATACTATTTTTTATTGTTTTTATTTGTAGTGTCCTGGGGAAAAATATTTTCAAAATACGTTTGGCTTCTAAATATTTTTTTCTCCCCACCCCCAATTCCCATTGAGACCCATTTTGTTTGGTACCAGTTTTCCCCCTCCTGAAATATAACTCTGGCTGTAAAAATGAGTTTACCATAGATTAAAATCAATGACTGCAGAATTAGCATGAAAAATATTAAGAGAAAGGAAATCCACAGAAATAACGCATTAGCAAACATAAAACATCACCCACAGATAGAGATAACTGAGTTAAGAAAACAACAACACTAGCTTATGGATGCCTTTAAAATTAATTGTCCATGATCACATTTGCTGTGACTTTTTTGTTGGAGAAAAGAAAGAATCCTGACAGGTTGGATGTATTGCCATAATCCCATAAAGCAACAGGGCCATTTTTCCAAGCTCTGTTTGTCCCACTGCAGATGGCTTTGTAATAGTTGTGGCTTTCTTAAAAGTTCTGGCTGTTGAGAGTATGGAGAATTTCTGGGGATTATAAAGTTGGAATACTTTTTTCCTTAAAATTATGGGTAATAACTGGCGCTGCCTTATTCAAGGTGTGCAAGTTATCTTGCTTTGTTGTTATACGAGTGGGCCACAAACATCTCAAGTAACTAAGGCTCATATTCCTTTAATGATCTTGTTGACAGGACACATTTTTGTGGTGTGGCGAATCTACTCAGACTCCTATTGTATTTTCCTCAATACTTTGGAAATGCTTCCTCAGAACCACTAGTCATTTTTCAGACAGTAGCTTCATTTCAGTACGTATAATTTCTGTGCTTTAGTGACACACCAGCAATACTGGAATTATGCAACTGGAAAATGAAACCTTTTTTTTTTCACTTATTAATGTTCTGAGTAGCAATAAAAGTGAAAACAAATGACAAATAAGACCTATCGTAATGTGAAATTTGGTACACATTATAGCTTGAACCCTTTCCAGAGCATGGAAGTTCTGAGAGGGTTCATAATAACCTAAGCATCTTAAAGGTGACCTACACAAGGAGAAGAATTTTGTGGCCTCTTTTGGTATTTTATGATGGGTAATGAAAGCCTGATATTAAAAGAAGAAGAAAAATCTTATAATGTCTGCGCAGTTTAAAAAGCCCTAAGGAGGTTTGGTCAGACAGCAGACACAGCTTAATTTGACTGCAGAATTCGGTTCAGAGAGAGAGAAAATAACTGTCTAACCGGATTAGACTAGGCTGCAGTCCTATGCATGCAGAATTGAGGCAAAACCCATTTTGACTCTTCTGGGCGAGAGTCGGGATGCTCAGAACCTGGGGAGGAATGCAATGTCTGTCCCCAATTGATTGTCCCCCACCTTTCTACAAGCATGATACACTGCCTCTAAACAATGGAGGTTTATTAAGCTATCATGATTAATAATAATCCCCTAAGAATTGGTCCAGTTAAAAAAACTCTAGTGACTATTACTCTGGCTGTGAGGCATACAATATACTTATGTCAGGTATTATGCCCATCTTTCTGTATTCCTTGGGTCTGATGAATACATTTCTTTTGCTGTGTTCATGTGTTCTAGTATTATAAGAACCCACTGTCATGACTGTACCTTTGTTAGCCTAATATTTCTCCCCTCCCATAGAAAAATGCCCCTTTGAAGTTTGTTTTTTTCCTTGAATCCTTCCTAATCGTATTATTTTGAAACAGAGCAACTGAACTGTACATTGTCCTCCAAATGTGGCTATAGCTTAAGAGTAATTCAATGGCATGATCATACTTGATATTTGATTTTCATTGCTTTTTAAATAAATGTACCGTATGTTTACATTTCACTGTCTGATATACCACAGTGGTCTGACTCCCCAGCATTGAAAGAGATGAGCATGGATGCAAAGCAAAAAGGACAAACAGAGAACAGCTACTCCTCAGAATTGGTTGCAGTCATCGCCAATATCTGGAAACTCCAAGGGAGGAAGACCCCTTGTTGCCAGCCTGGAAGGCCATGCCAGCATGCCCAGATTCCAGCCCAAAAGAGCCAGCAGCAATTAAGGAATTGTAGTTGTTCAGAAAGCCATCAGACTATTAACTGAAATATGGAACACAAGAGGCCAGCTTTTCCTGTGTATTTTAAAGTACTCTTCTTTGTCTGTGCATTACCATGTTAAATGTTGGTTAATGTTTTGGTCTCAGGCATAGGGAAGTGCCACTACTCTAATTAAGAAACAAAAGTCACTTGCGCATCCTTTGCTGCTCTTAACTATTGTTTATGTCATGAGCGGGAACATTTTGTGTTTATGTGTTGATGCTCTGTTACATTCCACATACCAGCTAGGAAAGGCTTTCTTGTTAAGCCTCAGCAGTGTTCCCAAAGAAGGCAACATAGACTGGAGAAGTACATTAGATATTTTGACAACCTTGAGCAAATATTGCTTCTATTGTTTTCCATTCTTTAAAGCAGGCCATGGTGCACCCCGCTCCCCAATATTACCGCCTCTTTGTGTGTTTGGAATTATTTAGTAGCTCAAGAAAAGGCTGAAAAAGGAAAACTCCTTTTGTATTTTGATAAATGTCTGTCCAATTAATACTGAACTACCCTGTTTCACCGAAAATAAGACCTAACCTGAAAATAAGCCCTAGCATGATTTGTCAGGATGCTTGTAATATAAACCCTACCCCCAAAGTAAGCCCTAGCTAAGTGAAACTCCACCCTCCATCATTGTGCAGCAACCAGAAGAAGATGACGTGACTGTATTTGAGTAAATGTAGATTATTGTCCATGAAAAAAAATAAAACATCCCCTGAAAATAAGCCCTACTGCACTTTTGAAGCAAAAATTGATATAAGACCCTGTCTTATTTTCTGGGAAACACGGTACATATTAGTATACTGTTTACTACCTATTAATGTGCTACAAATACATAAATTATTAATACTGAAGTACACTGTATCTTTACATAGTAGATTAAATAATGGGCTAAAAAATGAAGGCTATATGGAGTGACGGGGAAGGCCCTGCTGCCTTCAAAAATATTAAATTTCAAAAGTAGATCCATGGTTGCATCTGACATTTCCACACTATGTGCAAGTTGTAAAAATGGGGGAGAGAGTTTTGCTCCCCATCCCCGAATGAAACTCTCCAACAGTTCACTGCATGGTTGGAAGACAATTTGTCTTCTAACAAATGTTGCTGCAGCTGTATAATGGATTTTCCCCTTAATCTTTTCTTGATATAACATCCTCAGTGAAGTGGGTTGCAATCCATTAAAGCTGATGGCAAACATAACTTAGTAGTCTGTAAGGTGCCAGAGGTCCTGTTCCTTTTGCTGCAAAAGATTACAGCGCCCCCCCTACTCCCCAAAAATGCAGCACTCTGGAACACAGCATGTCAGTAGGGAGAATGAAATAGCAAAGGTGTGACAAAGAGGTTAGGTAATATTTATAATGTGCTGTTACATTGGGATGGGAGATCTCACGTATGCTGTGTTCCTTGCAGATAAACAGAGGAACAATGTCAGTATTAACTAGCAAACACTATATTTCTCAGGACATTCGGCTTACATGCATCTCCTTTTCTCTTGACTGCCCAGAAAAAATGAAATAGAGACTGCAAGAAAGAAACATTGCATCATAAGCAATGATATATCCTAGCATTCTTTGGAATTCAACCAGCAAGCTCCAGCAAAGTGGGATTAAAAGGAAAAAAAATTCTAAAACTAGTACAAAGCCGAGATTTAGATTTCAAATTTTATTCAGGGTGAATGCTTGCATCATCCTCTTATCTAAATTACCAAGTAAAAGCAATAAAGTGTCTCAAATAGCTTTTGCCTCAAAATATTAGGGTTTACACGCTACTTGCCCCTCCTCCTCAAAATCTGCTGGCACTTGGGGTCACCAATGGTGACATTGCTGCCCCTGCCAGCCTTCTGTTCAAGAGCAGGTGGGCTTTCCTAGCAATATGACCCTAACAAGCCAAGAACTGAGCAGCTACAGGACTCTGCTTGGTGTCCACAGACTGTCACTAGTGCCAGGAAAATCTACTCATTCATTGCAGGCAGGGGACTCAAGCCATCACAAGTGGTGGTGGGACCGCTGAAATGGCCAGAGAACAGTGGCATCATGAATGTCAAGCCAGTCTTCTCCACCTAGAAATTTCAGGCAGACACCAGTAGCATAGTAGGAAATGCAGGGCATTCTCATGACAGTCAGCTTAATCACATCCTTTCTAACATTATACAATAAAAATGAACTTTCGGTGTTCAGTGCTGCCAAATAAGGATTACTCTGTTAAGAATCTGCTTAGTATAAAAATGTTTGTACTTTGTTTAAATCAAGCCAGAATATGGACTTGAGAGAGTCAAAATAATTCCTTATCACATCTTTTCCACATCTAGGACAGTGGTAGATTTTCTTGGACTGCGACTCCCAGAAGCCCTTGCCAGCACAGTTAGTGCTGAAGGCCTCTGGGAGTTGGAAGTCCAAAAATTTCTGGGGACCCAAGGTTGGGAACCACTGCTCTAGGATTAATTATAGTTTGACTTTGGTATGATCATTAGCCTTTTCTCCCCAAGAAAGTTTGCAGACCTGGCTAAATAAAGTCATGCCCTTTCTCTGAGACAATCCTGAGGCATTGCTATTTTCCCATCTCTTATGATGCACATCTCTTTCAAACACGTTACCTGACTCTTCCAAGGATTACTTGTTGGATGGTCTCTCCCTAAAGCCTATTACCAAGGTCCATCCTCCCCATGTGAGATGTTCCAACCCATTCTACATAATTTTCAATTGATTTGCTGTCACTGTGGGTGTGTGGGGTGTCATTGATACATTATTTTATGTTTAAGGTTTGTGTTCTGTCAACTTTCCATTATTTTGGAATGAAGGTTGTAATATACATTCTTTTATAAAGCTGCTCACAGTAGTGGCCATGATGGGTGGGATACAAGTACAATAAATAAAAATTTGAGTCTCTGGTTTAGCATCCCACCACTCAGTCTCAAGCACCTGGCACCTTTGCTTTCTTCCTTTCTATACAAAGCAGGCTTCATCCTTGCCAAGGCGGCATAAGGATGCACGCAAAGGTGAGACCAAGAAGGAACGGTTTTATGCATTTGTCTGGCTTAAGAGCCAGCTGTTTCCAGGGGAAAAATATCTGCAAGAGGAAAAGCTTCTGGTCAACTGAAAGCCACTCTCTACCCCAGCAGCTTCCGCTTAGGGCTCAGTGTTGCCTGCTTTAGGTGGTTGCCAGTCTGAATGCTTTGCCCACCTCCTTTTTCTCCACACCTGCTGACAATTGCAGCACTTTCTTGTGGACGAGAAGAAGGGAAGAGACAAAAGGACACAGCCGGTTCTGTCTATGGCTCACCTGCCTTCCCAGGCTCTGACAGCCAAGGCAGCCCTTTAGGAGGAGAAAGCGTCGGTAACTTGGGCATTATGTAGTCCATGCTTTGTCTGGCAAGGAGTCCTCAATCCAGCCCCCAAAGTTTTCCGCAGTGAGGGTTAGGACACAGACCTCTGCTCAAGACAAGCCAAAGTTAGCCCTATGCAAACGAGACGGACCAGCGGTGACCCTCAGCAGGGTAAGCAGCAGCAGCAGCAGAAGGAGGGCGAGAGGAAGAGAAGAGGCGCAGACTGCAGCCAGCCAGGGTCGCGCTCTCTTCCCAGGGGCGAAAGGTTGCCAAGCTGACGCGCGCCGCTGCTGAGGCTGCAGTGACAAGAAGTGTACGTGTGTGTGTGGGGGGGGGAGGGAGAGACTTAGCCAGAGAGGCTCGAAGAGCGAGGGCGAGTCAGCCCTCCCGAAACAAGGCATGCCGGCCCCGTCACGACCTGACCCAGGAGGGCCACCACAGGCACGGCCACCATCTGCCGTCCTGGGCCCGCCGCCAGCCTCGCCTCGTCCCTTCCTCTCCCCTCCTGCGTGTGGCGGGGCCGCCGTTGAGCGCCGAGCCCTCGCCTCCAACAGGGCCGCCCCCCCCGCCGCCGTGTCCGAGCACACGTGGTGGTGACTGGCTGAGGAAAACACCGAAGAGAGACGGTGGCTCGCCCGATTCCTCCGGCACCTCCTAACTCCTAAACACATGCCCTGTTTCCGCCACTCCTCATAAAATTCCCTTTCAGGCGGCAAATGGACGGCGCGGAGGTGTTTCGTTTTGTTTTTTTGGTCCCCGCCACTCATGACGCGCAGAAGATGGCTGCCCGGCTCGTCCTGGGGTGTGGCGGAACGGGCCGAGCCCCTCCTCCCCTCCCTCCCCGCTGCCGCGCCCCGCCCTCTTTTCCTTGGCCGTGGCGTCACGCGGGCTCCCCCTCTCCCGGCTCGGCGCGTGGCGGCGGCAGGGAGGGAGGGGAGGAAGGAGGGAGAGAGGTTCGCGCAAGAGGAAGTGGTAAGCCGGGCCTTCTCCTCCTCCTCCGCCCTCGTCCTGCTCGGGGATTGTTGTTCGCGGCGCATCTTGGACTTCTCTGGCTCTCGGAGGAGGCCGTCCAGGGCAAGCGGAGTTTCTCCTCCTCTGTGTACACACCTCAGCGCCCCGTGTGTTTGTGTGTGTGTGTGTGTGTGTGTGTGTGAGAGAGAGAGAGGGAGAGAGAGAGCGCCTTGTGAGTGAGTCACTAGCGGGAGCCGCTGCAAGCGAGCAGAGAGGAAAGAGCCCCGCAGCACTCACTGCCCCAATGCCGCCGCTGCCTTAACTAGCTGAGGAAGGGAAGAGGTTAGTGAAGAGGGGAAAGGAAAGGCTCAGGAGCCTCTTGGCTCAGGAGGGGGAAGGAGAAAGGAGCGGCCTCTCCCAGGTGGATCGAAAGACTTAACGTAAGCGACACGAGTATGTTCAATAAAAGACACGCTTGGTGAGGTTGGCCTGCTAATGTCCGTGATCGCTGTCTGGGCAGATTCCTTCCCCTGAGGCCCAAAAGGGAACCCACCAAAGGGGCTTGGGAGCAAAGCGTGGCGCCTGGGCGCTTTTGCTCCTGGCCCCGCGTGGTGGAGGATCCAGACGTTCCTGTCGAACTCGGGCCCTGGCTGTCCGTGATAAGTTTTGTAACACAATTACGTGCACCCGGTGGCTCAAGGAAGGCGGCGGGGGGGAGGAGGACATTGCACGGGGGAATCAATACCTCCCGTCTCATTTGGGGTGTGTGTGTGTTTCAATACCTCCCTCTGAATGAAGCTCCAGAGGTCCTGCCCTAGTCAGAAGTGACAAAGAGGGAGCAAGCAGGTGGGGAGCCTGTCAGAGCACCTGGGGAGTTTCACGGCTGGCCCGAGGAGAGTCAGACTGAATCCTCCCTCCCCCGCTCTGATATTCTAGGGAGAGCTCCGTTTGCTACCTGCAGAGCAATGCCTTTCTGAGTTGGAACAATAATGATGACTTCCTGTGTGCCTCTTAACAATCCTCCTCTTTTTCCACAAATATAATACTACACAGAGAATGTAGGGAAAAACCTGTGTTTATTGGAATTTGCAGCTACTGTACCAGTATACCTGCCCATAAGATCAGGTGTGATCTGATTTTAGAAGTGACTTTCAGTGGTGGCTCCGCTAATTTCTTTTATTGAGATATTATAGTAAGCAGGTACTGTATATAAATACCCATAACATTCACTAACACACTACCACTGCCTTGTTTATTGATAAGTTTCATCACACAGTATGTAACTTTTTAATATATTTGTCATGCAGTATGTATGTCAGTGTTCTGTTTTAAACAGTTGTGTTTGTTTTTCACTTCTAAAATACATGATCCAGGCTGAACTTGTGAAGATGGACAAGTCTGTGTATCTCTACAATTAAATATCTGATCATAACATTTATTTCTTCAAGAGCTGTTTACTTACAAGAATCTGAAATTGAAAGATTGAGGGAGATCAGTGGTGTTAGTTTTTTTTATCTCAGAGTGTGTGCAAAACATTGGATAAGTAAGTTATTGAAATAACAAAAGTGCTGAAATGTGGACATATATGTAACAGTGAAAGATACTTAAAGTTTCCTATAGTATCCTATGTGCACCGTATGTTCTAGGTTTATATCAAAGAGCTTGGATTTCAAATTCCACTGTAATCTTGGGTTCTGAGGATGGCCTTGAGCAACTTCTGTCAGCCTCCCATGTGAAATGGGAGCATAAGAGTACGATAGAGAATAAGAAATATTATGAAGAAACTGCTGTGTGAGAAGTTGTACATGATAACCCTGGATTGTTATTTCTGTAGAAAAGAGTACCTTGTACTAAAATAGTTGCATAAATGCTTCTGGTTCCTTATAGGGAACAAAAGCTTACATCCACTGAAGAGGTAACAAATTATCTGTATGTAGAACAACTCAGAAGGTTTCAGTTACTATATTTTCTCCCTCACCTTCACACCGATTCCTGGATTTCACCTAGTATTTTGTATATATTTTTTAAAACTACAGAAGTTACATAAACATGGTTTACAACAATAAGAAAAGATCACATTGCATATGTGTAACACATTATGCATTCCACAAGGAAACATCTGAGAATGTGTTAAAGCCAAATGTTGAAATATTAAAGGTGCATTGTTAAGGGCACGGATCTCAGAATGTTTCCAGGTCTGAACTAACTTGGTGGTTTACAGCTGGAGTTTAATGGCAATGGGCAATGAATGTAGTTGATGAGGTGTTTTATGGAATACCTTGTTTGAAATCCTCCTGCAAAGCTACAAGGTTCTCTTGCTCCCTGTTTTGAGCATTGTCTTGTTTCTTAGATTCTGATGTTAAAAGTTATGATAGAAGACATTTTTATAAAGTGTTTCTACTTCTTTTCACCTTGCATTGGGGTTTATTGCATGCTTGTTCTTTTCTCAACCATGGAGCTGACTGGTTTAATCATTCTTTGTATTTGTTTTGCTGAGATTTTGACTAGACAAAATCTGTGATTTGCTTTTTGTTTTTATTGTTGCTTAAAGGTTTGTAAAGATTTGTGGAAACTTGTGTAAAATCAGCGTCAAAATTAGAAGAATGACTTTTGTGGGTTTATTAAAACACAGAGGAAATGTCTGAAATGTGATTAGTCAATTAGTTGCATGTCATCCTGCAGCAATGTGTGATTTAGTCAACTTACACATGTTTTAGCAATTATATTTGCATAATAATCTTATGAAGAATTTGAGGCTAATGGTATTTCTGCATGATCTCTTAAAGCAATAAGACATGCTAGGCACGACATTCTTGGTGATTATATGCACCCCAAGGGGCATATTAAGGCATAAGGCCAAACCCAAGAAGTGTGATAATCCCCTAGAAATTAATTGGATGGAATGTTGGTTGCTATTGAGAAATGTAATATAATGTACAAGTTGGGATAGGGAATGAAACTAGCTAGACATGTGCTTCTACTTGTGCTTTGTTTTGCTGAAGAAGTCTAAGTTAATAATTTTTTAATGATGCTGTACTTCACACAAAGATTACAAAAGCATCATAACTCACCGGCTTTCTCTGATTATCGTAAGATTGCACACAATATTTTTAGTGCTAGGTATTTGACCAGTCAAATAACATTTTGTTGAACACTGTAAAGTAATGTTAAATATTTTTATAGCAGGGACATTATGTAAAAAAATACAAAATAAGCATCAACTGGTTTAGTACTTATGCTGCTTGAAACAGCACTTTAGATTGTTATAACTGTGACATTAATTTAAAGGCAAAGGAAATTTGATTCTGTGGCATGTTTAATCTATCCTTTCCTGTCTTGTGGAAAATACGTAATCCCTGACTTGGTGATAAGTGTTATATGTGACCAAGGTTTGATTTATCTTGGGAGCGAAGTCATGTTGTCTGCCCACCAGTGGAACAGACACCACATCCAACATGGATTCCTCCTTGACTTTGTAGTACATGATGTGTTCCCCAGATCTTCTCTGGACAGTTAGAGGAGTTCTCTAGAGCAGATTCCAGTGAGGCTGGGGTTGCAAGAGGAGAAGAAAGTGCAAGTCCACTGTGTAACTGAAAAGATGTGTTACACTGGTATTTCATCATGCTTAGATAAATTCAAAGCATAATTCCTCCCAAACTAAGAATACAGTGGTGCCCCACTAGACGCTTACCCCACATGGCATGGAAATCACTTAACGATGACATTTTTGCGATCACTATTGCGATTGCAAAACGATGGTTCTAATGGGGATTTTTCGTTTCACGTTGATCAGGAGCCTGCTTCGCAAACCGTTTGTTCGCTATATGATGATTTTTCCAGTTCCGCAAAATGGCTTCCCTCCCTTCTCAAAATGGCTGCTTTCCAGAGGGAAGCTTCGCATTACAGCAGTTTTGAACAGCTGATCGGCAGTTCTCTATGGGCAATCTTCGCTGGACAATGAGATATTTCCCCCATTGGAATACATTGACCGGTTTTCAATGCTTTCCAATAGGTTTTTTTTTCGCTTGACGTCAATATCGCTTAATAATGATTTTCCTGGAACGGATTATCGTCGTCAAGCGGGGCACCACTGTATGCCCAATTTCCTCCTCTAATTTGTATTAATGTAAAAATGCAGCATGAGAGTCTACTTTTTTACAATCTTTCCACTGGTTAGGCACAAAAATGTTATAGTTTTATGATGGCTGCATTACATAAATAAGGCTTTGTATTTTTGTGTACAGTGGTGCCTTGCTTAACGATTGCCCCGCATTGCGACGAATCTGCTTTACGATGATCTTTTTGCGATCGCAAAACGATGGTCTGAATGGGGGAATTTCACTTAGCGATGATCGGTTCCCTGCTTCGGGAACTGATTTTCGCTTTACGATGATCAAAAGCAGCTGATGGTTGGGTTTTCAAAATGGCTGCCAGGTGCTTAAAATGGCTCCTCACTGTGCTTAGGGACGGATTCCTCACTATACAGGCAGCAAAAATGGCTGCCGTATGGGGGATCTTCGCTGGATGGTGAGGTTTTACCCCATTGGAACGCATTGAACGGGTTTCAGCGCATTTCAATGGGGTTTTAAATTTCACTTTACGATGTTTTCGCTTAACGGCGATTTTCCTGGAACGGATTATCGTCGTTAAGTGAGGCACCACTGTATTTTTCCCTGATTTGCTTCAGGAAGAGATGGAATATCTGAGGTACATATTTTTGCAGTGCTCCTTTCTGTTGTACAGTGGTGCCCTGCATAGCGACAATAATCCGTTCCAAAAAAATCGTCGCTATACGGATTCTCTATACGGATTCGTCGCTATGCGGGGCAAAAAAGCCTATAGGAACGCATTGAAACCCCTTCAATGTGTTCCTATGGGCAAAAAACTCAACGTTCTGCGGAAATCTTCCATGTGGCCGCCATTTTCGCTGCCCGGCAAGTGAGGAAAGCGAGAAAACACTGTGGGCAGCCATTTTTTTTCCCGGTGATCATTTTGGAACTGCCGACCAGCTGTTTTTAAAAGATCATTATGTGATAATTGTTAAGCAAAACGCTTACCGATCATCGCAAAGCGATGTTTTGCCATTGAAAACATCGTTATGCGATCGTTTTTGCGATCGCAAAAACCTCATCGCTATGCGGATTTGTCGTTAAACGAATTGCTCGTTATGCGGGGCACCACTGTACATGTAAAATACTGGACAACTCTGCCTCTACATTACTTATTGCAGCAGCTGACCACATATGGTTGGGCTCCAGAGTAATAATACATGACTAGAGATGGAGGTATTCATATAGAAATATGAATATCCCTGTGCAGCTGGAATTAATGACGGTCCACTCATGCGTCCAGCGGCAACGGCCACACTCATCCTTCCAATCACTCCTGAAGCTCTGCTCTCATCCTGGTCGGCTGGCCACTTGGCAGCCATGCAGGGAGACTCATCCTCCCTCCCCTTGCCTGGAGTGGCTAGCTGAGTAGTGATTAAGAATGATTGGAAGGATAAGCAAGGCTGTTGCTGGATGCATGAGTAGACAGTCCAGCCCCAGGGGGTGAATCCATGTTAACTCCAGCTGCACAGGGATATCCGTATATGAATAACCCCACCTCTATCCATGACTATGGCTCATGCTGGTTGGGATAGATGGGAGTGGGACTCCTGTACCACTTGAGGGCCCACAGTCTCCTCCATCCATAATTGAAATGAACGGGAGGGGTGTTGTAGTCTCATGCATTTCCTTATTTAAATTAATTTGACCAGTGCTTTATTATATCTGTCTCTGCGTGTCTATATATCTCTTTGTGTGTGTAATCTCTCTCTCTCTCTCTCAACATTTAATACAGGTGATATATTTAAATATATATAAGTTTCCAATGCAAAGGGGGGGGGAGAGGAAGACCGTATAGCGTTCCAGACAAAATGTAATGGCAAATGAAATCTTAATTGATCTCATTAAGTCCATAGCCCCATTGTCTAAAATTATCTCAGTTCTCCAGTTCTTTTTTCACAGTTAGACAAAGCACGTGCAGAGTACTTTCTTGTGCATTTTGCTTCCATCAGACCTCTTCTAGGATGTATTTCCTGGAAAGAACATCATCTGGCCAGATACATTTAGATTTAGGGTGAACCATTTTGTGCAGTTATCCCTGTTCAGCTGCAGAGCTGCATTGAGTGTAAAGTGGTAGTGGTTATCTCTTGCCTACTGTCAAGCACCTGATACTTGAAAGGTTAATTTTATTGAATGATTGTTTTATGTCATTCTTCTACTAAAAACTACAAAGACATTGCATAAAAAAGTAATCAGTAACCCACAAAATGCAATAAAACAACTTAAAAATGCTAATATTACAATAAAACACTAATTTCAGGTTCAAATGCTAGGTGAAGAGGTGTGTCTTGACTTAATTACTAGGAACAGAGTGATCTGGGTCAGTTGTCACTCTAAAGGGAGAGCATTCCACATGTTGGGAGAGAAAGAGAAGGCCCTATCTTGTGATCCTGACAAGAAGGCCTCTACAAGTAGGTCTGTGCTCAAAAGGGCTTTCTGTATTTCCTAATAAATGATCAGCTTCATAGTGAGAATCAAGGTGTAGACAGGGCTGTGTCAATCTGTGCACATGTAGCTGTGCTTGGGGTGTATTGAGGTGACAGTTCTGAAAATATACCACCCTACACACGCTCTTTCTTCTTTTCCCTGCCTCTCCCTCTCTTAGAGGTGGTTAAGATGTTGCTTTACTAGAACTTGTTCCAGGAGAGATGGATCTGCTTTAAGAAAAAAAAAGGTGGTGACTAGTCTGAATTAAAAACTATTAAGGAGAGACATCACCTTGCCAACATAGGTCCACATAATCAAAGCTATGGTTTTTCCAGTAGTAACGTATGGAAGTTGAGAGCTGGACCATAAAGAAGGCCGACAGCTTTTGAATTGTGGTGCTGGAGGAGACTCTTGAGAGTCCTCTGGACTGCAAAGAGAAGAAACATATGTGTTTTGAAGGACATCAACCCTGAGTACTCACTGGAAGGATAGATCCTGAAGCTGAGGCTCCAATACTTTGGCCATCTCATGAGAAGAGAAGACTCCCTGGAAAAGACCCTGATGTTGGGAAAGTGTGAGGGCAAGAGGAGAAGGGGACAACAGAGGACAAGATCAATCGACAGTGTCACTGATGCTATCAACATGAATTTGACCCAACTCCAGGAGGCAGTGGAAGACAGGAGGGCCTGGCGTGCTCTGGTCCATGGGGTCACAAAGAGTCGAAGATGACTTAACGACTAAACAACAACAAAACAACCTATAACATGCTACTTCATTGTGGACTAGTGCATATGCATCATGACTGAAGTCTTCAGGTAAGGGTCACATTTGTAGGCATGGGTTGAGGATCTGCTTAAACATTGCTAACCAGGCGATATAGCAACAAACACAGATGTTAGTGAAGTACCAGCAATCTTGGGTAGTATAATAACTGTTATGAGTGCATTGGAAGTCTGAGCTATGTCTCGCCAGCAAGACGTTTCCAAGCAGTATCCTGTTTTCTATCGTATTTCTCCGAAAATAAGACAGGGTCTTATATTAATTTTTGCTCCAAAAAACGCATTAGGGCTTATTTTCAGGGGATGTTTTATTTTACAGTCACGTCATCATCTTCTGGTTGCTGAACAATGGTGGAGGGCAGGGTTTCACTTAACTAGGGCTTATTTTTGGGGTAGGGCTTATATTTCAAGCATCCTGACAAATCCTACTAGGGCTTATTTTCAGGTTAGGTCTTATTTTTGAGGAAACAGGGTAAGACTGCATGTCCATGATGTTCATTATTAGTCCTGCCAATTGTCCTTTGAGTTATGCCACAATCCAATAACCTAAGTAGAGCAACAAAGATGATAAGGGGACTGGAGACTAAATCCTATGAAGAATGACTAAAAGAACTAGATATGTTTAGCTTAACGAAGAGAAGACTTATTGGAGACATGATAGCAGTCTGAAGGGTTGCCACAGGGAAGAGGGCATTGATCTATTCTCCATTGTGCTTGAGGATAGGACAAGAACCAATGGGTGGAAACTCGTCAGAGGGAGATCCAACCTATAAATAAGGAAGAATATCCTGACAGTGAACCATTAAGCAATAGAACAGCTTGCCTCCCGATGTTGTGGGTCCCCCCGTTGCTGGAGGTTTTCAAGAAAAGATTGGACAACCATCTTTTTGGGATGGTATGAGTTCTCCTGCCTTGGGCAGGGGTTGGACTAGAAGACCTCCAAGGTCCCTTCCAACCCTATGACGATTCTGTGATTCTGTTTAAGATACTTTGTTGTTCAAAGGATATTCAGCATGAGATAGAACCTAGTTATGTAGAATGAAACTATACATGCAATATTTACATTTTTACTAAACTAATTCAATTAACCCGTGTTATCCAAGCTGAGATAACATGTACTTTTTCACAGTAAAAATTGTATAAAATGAACAGAATTCAGGAAAAGACCTCAATCTCATTGTTGCTCTGCAAATATATGTACAAACAATGAAGACATTAATGTTTAAGCTGAAGATCAATTCTTGTATCATGCAGTAAATAACAGGTCAGATACGGATATACTGTAGCAGCAAAGTGTTTTCTTATTCTGAGGTCTACCTTTGGTAGATTTCTTAGATTTCTTAATGCACTGTGATACTGCCAGTCAAAGGTGTGGTAGTGTTAGTTATTAGAAATTTTAAAGCTTTTTGAGAATTTGTGAGTACTGAGGCTTTCTTACCTGCTGCTAATAGTAAACCCATGCACAATATGTATCACAGAATAGAGAAAGTGTGATAATGTGTTGGAGAAGACAGATGAGCACCTTTTAATATTGATTAGTACTGATTCTAGCATTACCCTAGCATTTAAGTGTTCTTCTTTGTACAAAAATGGAATTTAATAACTTGGTATTCGAAAAGGAAGAGCACTAATGTCCCTAATAATTTAAGTTTCTCTTTGCCACATGCCAGGGCCAATATGAACCCAAGAAGGATTAGGACAGACTTCATTCTCATTTATAAGCATGCATAGCTCTACTTTATTAGAAATTGCCTGAGGTTGAGTGCAAAAAATAGACCACACACATGTAAATATATATAGCTGTTGATGATTCTTATTTGTAAAGCTTCTACAAACACATGTTTGAGAAGCTGACAGATTCGGAATTCAGGGAATGTTTGATGATTTTGGTTAATTAACTGATGTGTTTTTTAAAATGCCACACACAGACATTTTCATACAAGTTTGGTGCACTTTATATTCTCAAGTACTGTATAAAACTATGTTTACCTTTCTTGCTGTGTAGAACAGATAAGATTTAAAATATTCTGAAGTTACAATTTTAATATTTTACAAAAATACTTCTCATTAAAGTAAATTGTCTTTGAAAAGAGTGAAAATTGAGAGAAAAAGGGGCGATTTTGTAGTGGTAAGACAGTTGATAGTGAGAAGTGATTCCCTATTTGTGAGCGAATAAAAGCATCTGCAGGGGGAGAGGATCTCTCCTCAATACTTCTTGAAGATAATAGATGCTTGATTTAAATAACACACTGTAAGCAATACAGTGTCTGTTGCACTGATTCCCTAACTAATATGGGCAGATGAAGAAATTCCAAGGAGGATGTGAAATTTTAGTAATTATTTTAAAATTTGCCTAAAACAGATTTCTGTGATAAGTATGATTACTGGAACTAGGAATTTCTGAGGAGAAAACTATCATCTTCATGGTTGAAGATTTTAAGGTGATAAAGTGCGAGGATAATGTTCTCACTTGGGCTCTGACTGCTGTTTGAGCAACACCACAGCTTTGAAGCAGTTGTTGGTCACATTAAGGTATATCATTTTCTTAATTATAGTTAGAGAAGATTCAATTTTAGTTACTCCAGAATTTAGAACAATTGCATTGCTAATTGTGTATGTCCCGATATGAGTTTGGGATTAAACTAGTTTCACTGTCCAAAGTGGCATATGTTGAATTGTTGACTATGTAATAGTTTTTGTGTGGATTACTATAAATAAAACCTTTTAAAATTAAATGATATTTTCCTTTCCTTTAAAATTATTTTATGAATACCAGACTTTGTTCTAGTAGAAAAGAATTTGGCAAATATGTAGATTTAGTTAGAACTACATAATTAATAGCTTTAAATAGTGTTAATCAAATACCATCTTCTTACAGGGGGTTCACGTATAAACTACAGCATGTTGAAATAATCTACAATCCCATCTGAACATCTGAATTCATTTTGCAGAATATGGCATGCAGCTGCATTCAAATACAAAGCAAGAAGAACTGCAGTATATTGACCCACTGAATATTACAGTAGGTTTTGAGTTTCATGTTAGTTGGATTTATTGGAGAAAATTGATTTGAGTGCTTCTGCTTTTGGCTGAGTTTTTTAATGTCTGGAAGAAAGGAAATAGGACATGCATGTGATGTGACTTTGATGTGTAAAGAAGTTAATTATCTAAACCATCTAACAAATCTTCGCTGGAGAACCCCCGCACATTAATTTAAAGGTTATAGGATGGTCTGATGAGTTTTGGTTGTTGTAGGTTTTTCGGGCTCTTTCGCTGTGTTCCAAAGGTTTTTCTTTCTAACGTTTTGCCAGTCTCTCTGGCTGGCATCTTCAGAGGACAGGAGTTAGAATTCTGTCTCTGTTCCTGTGAAGATGCCAGCCACAGAGACTGGCAAAATGTTAGGAAGAAAAACCTTTGGAACATGGCCAAACAGCCTGAAAAACCTACAACCACCATTGGATCCCGGCCATGATAGCCTTCGAGAATACACTGATGAGTTTTGTTCATTTAAATAAAATGCTACTTGAGTTTTTAATTAAATAACTCCAGAAGAAATTTGCTAGCTAGTGATAAACCTTTCAGTTTCTGATGGTCTCTGTCTTTGAACCAGTGTGCACCAGTAGCTGATTTGGCTTATGTTATATGGCTGCTTTGTCGTATTTGTGTGAAACAAAGTTGATTTTGGGTATGGAAGGTGACCCTTCGGTGCTGACCAATGCCAGCACAGCCTGTTCTTGTGGGGGGATAGCAGGGATACTGGCAAGTTGAGTCAAGTTCCAAGTATTTGGTATCAAGCCCCAAATCCCAGTCTCAAGTTCCTATGAAAAAGAAGCCTCCCCCCCCCACAAAAAAGGGAGATGGTGGGATGGTGTTGTGGGATTTGTGTGTGTAGGTATGAGACTTGTGAACCATTCACTTTTGTTCCCCTCATGCCTTCCCCTGAAAACTTTTTAAAAAGTTTTTAAATTTACAAAAAAAGGTCTTCCTTCACTTATCTTTCAAACAGCTCCATTTTTAGACTGGAATCCTCTTGTTTAATCTGTTGCAAACAGAGGGAAATTTCCCTGCAGTATGTGTGTGCGCTTGTGCGTGTGAGAAACTGGGGGAGGGAGAGAGGCTGCTGCTGGCTGTTTGTGTGCATGCTTGCGTGTGACTGAGTGACTGGAGCGGTGGAAGCTGCTTCCCTGTGATCAGGTAGGTGCAGGTGCTGCTAAACCTTTGCTGTCTTGGTTATGTCTCTTAAGCTTTTGCATTATTTTTCAGAAAAAGAGTGTGTATGCATGTCTTGCAGGAGGGCAGCTCAAGAGGAAGTCTCTCTCTCACACACACACAGACACACATTGCAAAATGATGCAAAATTTGCGCGCGCGCGCACACACACACACACACACACACACACACACACACACACACACACACACACACACACACACACACACACACACACACACACCCCAAAAATGATGCAAAAACTTGCAGACAGCCGAAGAGTTCATTAGTAGCTCCACCTACTTGGTCTAGGAGAAGCAGCCCCCCTTTCTCCCTCCCTCCCCCCTCACAGAGAGAGAGAAGAGAGAGATGGAGGGAGGGAGGAGCCTGGCCAAAGACGGGGGGGGGGTCATGTGCAAATCGGAAGCAGCTTCTCTTCAGGATTCCAGCCAGAAAATGGAGCTTTTTAAAAGATAAGTGAAGAATTTTTTAAAAAACCTAAAACAACAGGACTTGACTCAGAAAAAAGGCTCCAAGTCACATGTTGAGTCCAAGTTATTTAAAAACAACAACACACAAGTCATGTCCAAGTCGATTCACTGGTGTGACTTAAGTGTGATTTGACAGCAAGTTGTACGTCAAGTCTGCATCCCGTGGAGCTAGGGTGGGGAGGGTTAAACCAGATGTTAAGGAAGATGGAAATCTAAACTGGATACATTTCTGGAAGCTGTACAGATGCTATTACAGAATAATAGAAACTCTGTAATCCACACAAAAATGCTTGAAAATTGGACATGGTATGCTTAGAATCACAATCTTAACCTAGTTCTAGCAGTGGGTTATTTGGTTGTTAGTATCTTATGATTTGCAAGACATTGTTGCTACAGAATATTGAAATGGCAATGACTGGACTGGCTGATTATTAGTTTGATTATTTGTTATGCCTTGCACAGTGTAGACTATGACGTGGGTTTTCTAGAAAAAGTAGAACTGGGAAATTTTATTGAGTTCGAAGTAATGACTGATTTTGTTATTGAAGAATGTTAAGCAGTAGAGGACAAATATACATTTTATAGGTCTGGTCCAGACCCAACCAGAAGCTAACTGCATTGTGCACAGGAGATTGGACAATGGAATGCTAGGCTTTGTCAGTGCTTGCATTTGAAGTATAATTTAAAGATATGTTTAGTCTGCGTAACAAAATTGACTGCAGTAGAGCAGCTCAAACAACTGTAGACAAATATAGACAGATTGGTGTGGAAAATTTTCTGCAGAAAAATAAACCTTCAGGAAAAAAAATCCAGAAAATGTTCTGCCCCACATCTCTGCTGTAGGGTATCTCTCACTTGCTTTAGCTGCCTATGCTGTTTTGCTAGGCTATTTTTTGCCAATTCATGTCTTTTTTATTCTTCTGAACAGAAAAATTCTGCTCTTGAATAGAGGTGCAGTATTATCTGACTAGTACAATAGTGATTTGTCAAAGAAGCATGTAAGGTGGTCTCCTGAATTATGAATGATAGATGTAAATACGTATTGGTAAATACAAGATTAGTTTCTATTCCTAATGCTGCACCTTCCAAATGACTCAGTTGTGGATAAGTTTGTGGCTGGCCTGAGTTGGGGTGCAAGTAATTCAGAAGGCACTGTCATTCCAGATGCTGTTGGCAAGGATGAAACCGATGCAGGCTATTTATGTCTGGTTTACTTGTAACGAGTCCTTTATTGCTGCTCTCTTGGCATCCCACCCAACTATTATATTCTAGGATTAGCTCGGTGCTTTGGGCACTGGACAGGAATTTTTACCAGTTTCTTCAGTTAACACAATGTTGTATAATTTTTTTTTTAAAACACTCTACACTGCTTGCTTGGTGGATGTGACTGTTAGAAGCTGGGCATATCTGAAAGTTTAGACAATTTATTTGATCACAGTAGGCAGTAAGGATGTCAGCAGTGCTCTGAGGTGCTTTTAGAATCAGAGAGGATTACCAAGATTTCCCATTCAGGGCTGTGGGACATGAACGAGTACCCTACGGCCTACAGAACCCCTTTTCTAGAACCCTCTCTAATTCACTGTAAAGTTCAGAAACTCAAGAAAGCGTATCTTAACAAATTCTGGCTAGTATTTTGTGTAGTATCATGATTATTTCAGCAAACAATCAAAATTGTAAACTTATAAATTCTTCTGCAAATGTATAATATCTTGGATATTGTGGCATTTGGGGTTTTATAGGCCTGTGTCTATGTGTCTGTCTGGATAGCTCTGTTAGCTGGAACATATGGTTGCTCAGCCAGAAGTTACAAATTCAATTCCCCACTCTGGCTTGTAGAAGAAAAGCTGGCCTGTGTGATCTTGGGCAACTTACATGGTTTCAGAGTGCTCCAGAAGAATGGAATGGTAAGTCATTTCTGAGTCATCTATACCTAGAAAACCTTGAAAAGCTGTCTTAAATTGGAGTCTGCATATAATTATTGTTGTTATTGGTATTGCATGTGTCCAGAGAACCCTACTGTGGTGTCTGTAAATCAGAAGTTATGGATAGCATGTAACAACAATATGTACATTGTCTAATACAAAGTTTTCCTAGGCCACCATGTAGGGGGAGGATTTTTATGACATTTCACATTTACTCTGCAATTGAACCCATAAGAAAGTTCAAACATGTTTATAAGTAATCTGGCCTTTCTCACCAGATTATTCATAAACATGTTAAAACCCACCCATAAGCTGAAACATAGGTTGCAGAAAAAATATGACATGTCATAGAAATCCTCCCCCTACAGGCTGTTTCACTGTGACATTTCTCTAATGGTGAGTTAGCTTACCATTGTGAAATTGTGAGGGGGAAGAGAGTGTTCACCTCACAATTCTCCCTGATTTGGAGAATGATGCATGTGAAAGCAAGTGATGGTTGTTCAGCTGCTGTCAGGATTTACTCCCAACATTCAGCACAATTAGTTGGTATAGTACTGCTGAATGTCATCTACCTTTTTCAGCTTAGTAGATAGATAGCTCAGCAGGGGAACTGAGCAGAGTACTCAGGGTATTTCTGTTGGAAGAGAAAATACAAAGAAGGTATGCTTCAGAATCAGTTTAAAGTAGTGGAGGGTGACATGTGACACACGTAATGCTGTATACGTTGCCCTTGGAGCAATTTTGTAGTCCTTCGCATTCCTGGAATTCCCCACCTTGCAAATGAAATTACGACAGTTTTGCGATAATATTTTTCCCTCAGAAAATCGCTTTATGCTATGTAGAGAGCATGGCAGCAATTTTGCCATGTTTTTAGCTCCCATTGTGCCCCTGCACCCCATATAATAATTGTGTGGCATCAAGTCAATTATGACTTACAACAACCCTTTTCAGGGTTTTCTAGGCAGAGGATACTTAGAAGTGATTTTCCATTTCCTTCTCGGATTATATAGCTTGCCCAAGGTCACATAGGCCAACTCCTCTGGGGTGCACAGTGGGAACTGAACTTGCAACCTCTGACTACACAACCTAACTCACTGAACTATCCAGCCAATTCTGCACACCATAACTCACCACACTGCTATTATTACAAAACAAATGTGGGCAGTAGAAGGTGCAAGATAGTTTTTAAGAGTACTGTAATGCAGTTTTTTTAATCTTAAACTAGTTTTATGGCTTTATCAAAACCCCACTGTTACAACCTTTATTTTAAAATTTCAGTAATGAAAATAATAAAGGAACATGAAAATTAGCCTCTTTGGTGACGCCACACTTCCTTGGCTATGTGACTCTTGCACTGCTGAGAAATCTGAAAAATGGTCCTTGTTCCCCTCAGATACTGT